ACCAGACAAGACCCAAAGAAACGGGCCGCGGAAGACACCAGGGCGGCTAGTGATGATGAAGTTAACAGGAGGTGCACGCACTTACAACGTGCGAGTGAGTAAGGAAACCGTGCGTACGCCGCACGTGTAGGTACGGCCTGTACGCGGCAACGTAGCAATCGCACAGAGATCGTGCGTTGTAAGCACGTACAACTCACTTACCACTTGCGCAACGTACGATGCACGCAACCGCTGACGGCCAGGCGTGTCGTGCAGACCACGTACGTACACCTTGCGCAACCGTGCGAGTGACGTACTCCCTCGGCCGGCCACCCTACGTTTGCAGAAAAAACGTAGCAGACGTAGCCACGACAAAAACGTACGGACAAAAAGCACGCACGGCGAGTTGTGACCGAGGCTTAACAGGAAAAAATTCACCTTTTAAGAAATATGGACAACTACATGTCTGCCTTCATTTTGTAGTGGGCTGGAACATGAAGCGAAGCTACTGCCGTTATATCAGGGGTGACCTTGAAGATTAATGCCTGTACTCGCCAGCCTAAATAAACACTGCTCATATTCATGCCGTATGACATGCGTGCAAAACTCGTTTAAGATTGGAAGCAGGGAGAGTCCAACATATCTCATTGACGGCTCAAAATGACCGTAACGGGTTTGTCCAGAATCATGTCTTAGGGATTTTCGAAAAAGGACCTTGCTTTTGAATTATGAGCAATTGAGTGCGAAAAATGTCAAAAATGTTAAATGTCAAAGAAAAAAGGAATTGGTATGGCCCCTTGCAAAGGTTTTCTTCGCCGAACGGTAACTGTCTGACTTACCTTACTTCCAGGTTGGATGTATGCTGACAGGACTACAGCTGTGACGACTGACACAATCACCAGAACTCCACATCCCAGGAGGACCCAACAGATCTTGCTGGATTTTGCCTTATTCCACATGCCCATGATACGCTCTGGGGTTCAATATACAATTGATTTCATTGCGCATAGGTGACGAAAAACAACATATGAAAATATGAACAAATCTATCCGTAAATAATTTCATCAGGTTGGTAAACGACTGAATAGTAAAGTTCTTTTTATCACAACCATTTATTTTTCAAGCCGACGTTTCGATGACATTCTGTCATCTTCATCATGGCAATTCTGACTGGTATACTGTGCACTGACACTAGATGTTACTTGGTACATGGTGCATAGTGCACTTAAGTGTTACATAGTGCATTTAAGCTATTTTTTTACTGTTTACAATACATTCCAGAACGTAGTGTAATTGTGACATACATATTAGGCATTGTTACATCATAGGTAAATATGCGGATCCAAATGTAAAGTGTTTCTATATACAATATAAGATTTGTTAAGTGACAACACTGAGCTATCACAGTCCCAAATAGAAATTATTAAAAGTCTTGTTACATATGTATTGTTATAAATTATAATAGTTACAGACAATAAGAAAACCAACGTCAGTTATTAACCCTACCTAGACCGGGGGGGGGGGCTAAAAGTGCCCGCGGCAACTTTGATGTCACCTAGCATCTGAACGGCTTGACGTAGAATGGCCAAACTTAGTGACTTTTCCTAGAATATTGTTGGCAACAATTCTCTATCATTGGAATAAGATAATAATTTTTTGTGTTGCCATGGCAACGGGTTTCTGACAGGCATTTTTTGCTAAATTTAGTACTTTTTGTTTCAACAATAGAATTTTAAGGGTTTTATGTCAAGTTACTCATGATTCTAATTAATAACATCCCATATAATTTTATGTAAATTTTATCATTAAATATGGATAATTTATGCTAATTTGATGACGTCATTGGCCAAAATCCAAGATGGCGGACCATATCATTAGAACAGGTATATACAGGTTATTTTCATTAAAATTTCATCAATACTTCCATTTCTTTTTCCAAAAAAAGGTTTAAATGAAGGTCTTTAGTATGTTTGCAATGTATTTTAGGCTTTATCATGAAAAAAACTATTTTTGAAAATTCAAGATTGATGATCCAAGATGGCGGATATCTTAAATATGCATGACGTCATTTTATGACGTCACCGGTGTTGCTATGGGCAACATAAGACTTAATTTGATTTGATTTGATTTTATTGTTTGCACATGAACAAGACAGACAATAATAATATAAAAGAATGATAAAACAGGTGCAGGAGGAGGGGAGAAGCATGGCGTGCTTATACTAGGCCCTCCTCCTCTAAACTATACAAAATTAAATATAATTAATAAATGGAAATAATACAATAGAAAATGGAAATAATACAATAAGGATAATAAAATAATGTATGGTATAAGTTAATGACAATGAAAATAAGGTAATGATAATAATTGGTATGAGTTATAATAGGAGAAAACACTAAATAAAACTACTACAGGGGGCTAGGTTCGTTAATCAGATTGTTTTTCAAAGCTTGTTTAAGTGAGAGAAGAGACAAGGTAGGATTCTTTAGGGCTGGAGTTAGTTCATTCCATAAGGTGACACCTTTGTATCTAACCGACATTTGGGCAAGAGAAGTTTTACTAGGGGGATATGAAAATCGGAACGTTTGCGAGTTTGATAGTTGTGAATCTGAGAACGAAAATTAAAAAAGTCATCAAATGTGTCCGGGAGTTTATGGTTTATATATTGGGCTACGAAAAGTACAAGTTGAAATCTGTTTATGTCGTAAATGTTCAAAAGTCTAAGTTTTTTAAATAGAGGCGAAGAGTGGGTGTAAAAACTAGAACCAGTGGCAATGCGTAGAAATTTTTTTGTAGAATTGATATAGGATGCAGAGAGGTTTTGTAGGCATTTCCCCAGACAATATTACAATATGCAAGATATGGATAAATTAAACTGTTATAGATGGTTATAAAGGTTTTTTTGGATAAAAGATGTCTAATTTTCCCTATGATCCCGATTGTTTTTGAAATTTTATTAACAACTATAGCGATGTGGGGCTTCCAGGTTAAGCGGTCGTCTATTTGTATTCCCAAAAACTTAGCCTGAGATTCTCTGGAGAGAATGTGGTTTTTTAAGTAGATGGTGGGATTTTTTCTCTTATTTGCCTTATTTTTGCTACAAAAGATAAGATAATAGGTCTTTTTGATATTAACCGATAGTTTGTTTGCTTCGAACCATGTAATAACTTTTTCTAATTCTTGATTGGCTAGTTGGATTAGAGAATC